GGGTTGCAACATCTGGCAGGGTATATCTTCCTCACCACACCCACTCGCCAGGTATCAGGTCGTGTCTTCCCTCTACTGGAGGTCTCCAAGTGTCCAGCACCTGTTCACTAGCCCCATGCACCACTTCAATTAACAACCTACAATACTACAATAGAGAATTAGCAAATTCAACAATCCATTAGCCAAATTCATCCCATTAGGAAATACATTACGCTTCTGCTGTGTTTAACGATGGTATGAAAAATAAATTCAAAGACGAAAATGGGACCGAGCAGTCCAGCAAAAGTACATGTACGACAAATTCGGAGAAACAATTATAGCCTGGGTTAGAGTAAAAAATTATGTTCATGAACTGTAAAGCTAGGGTAAAAGGTGTAAGGGAACTTGCACATAATTTATATTGTCTATAGCATTGTCTTGTCTGTATTCGCACCGTAGACCTGGAGAAAGTTATCTCACAAGTTATCTCTTGTATAGTTGTATACTTGTATATGGATTGACACATAAACCTGAACTTGAACCTGTCCTGATCAGGCTAGACAGGCAAGACCACTGCCAAAACTTGTTTTAGGGCTGTAAAGCCCTGGTGCTCATGGGCCCAGTGTACTCTGATTTTCATTCAAGCAGAGCTATTAATTACTTAACTGAGCTATCTGTCTGCTTAATGAGAACCATCTTTCTGTCTGAAAGAAGATTAACAAAAATTTACTGATTTTAATTCATAACATTCAACAACTATCTTAAAGGTCTTTCCAGAGACCAGGAGATGAAAACATCTAAAGAGTTTAAGCAGATGAATAGAAGAATTAAATGAAAAGTTCAATTAAGTCACATTAGTTCAACACAATTTAGCGTGGCTTGAAAGAAAAGCAGTAGACACTGAAAACTATGAACCGCAGAAGCCCTTATCTCACAATCTGCGTGCATTAGATGTAACACTTTAACATATTTTGGAACAATTATCCATATCAATTTATTTAAACAGGAAGTAAATTTCAAAACCCACTCAAAACAGGACGTTTATGAAACTGTAACCAAATCATGTTCATTTAGGTTTAGATTGTACTATATTTTAGATATATTTATCATGGTCATTTTTTTGTCATCAACATTATTTGAATATTATTTTTCACTTTGGGGCATTGATGGAAATGAAGGGTTAGAAACTCTTTAACGATGGGTTCAACATCCCTCTGACCTCTCCTGCATGACCCTCTTGTTCCAGGCACGCTGCCCAACCCGAGCCGCGAAGTGGTTGGAGACACCATCATCTTCCGCTCGGTGCAGATTGGCAGTAGCGCTGTCTACCAGTGCAACGCATCCAATGGACATGGCTATCTGCTCTCAAGCCAGACACTGTTGACAAGCTGGTCTTTCTGGCACTTAATCTGTAACCTGAAGTACAATTTAGTGTGTGCCATACGCTTTTTCAAATTCTTACACCAAGCAGCCGTTTGAATACATGAGGAGTTATTACTTTAATGCTTGAATATTTTTTAACTTATTTTTGTTAATTTATTTTCTTTTCAGAAGTATTACATAACCTCTCCCCTACAAGTTTATAAGAATTTTATTTGAAGTATTACATATTTACTTATTTAATGTTTATAAGTTTATTGTATTGTTTCAGTTCTGCAAAATAAAAAATGTTTTTAAAATGTTCGACTTCTACTTCAGTTCAATGTGAAATTTCAAAAATACTGAAGGAACAACACAGTAGCTAACGAAGATTAGTAGTATCCGCCTTCAAAATACAAAAACTAAAAGAACAGTTTCCAAACGAAAGATAGGCCTGGATCTTTACAAATGTTCCTCTTGATGTACCTATCGGGAAAATCGGTGTGAGGATCAATGGTTCTGCTGTGGCCTACAGCACTAGCTGTGATGCTATTCTGGATACAGGGACATTCAGAAAGTAAGATTCTTCCTACGCTAACAGAAAGGTCAGATAAGAGCCAACATGTGAAATGTGGTACAAGTCCAAGAGAGGAGCTGATTGCATTATGTGATCTTCAGCTTTATTGCAGGCAGTGTCATGATCGCCTGCTGTGTCAATTTATGTGCAACTATTTCATTTTTGTTCTTCTTCTTGTGCAATTCTGTACTCTTGCTGTTCTTGAATGACTCTGTGTATTGTACAGTATCTGCAGCTTTGTTAATACATGATTGGTCAATTCTGACATTACAACTCCTTCAAGATGCAATCCTATCATCTAAATTGCTGTAACAGCGTAAACTTCTATGCATTTAGTGGTGACGTGGTAAGAGACAAGGTGACCTTCGTATGTTCTGACCTCATAATGGCTGCACAGTATGTCGTCAGCTGCTGTGACCTGGACACGACGCCTGATGTTTTGTTCACCATCACTGGAGTGAACTTTCCACCGACCCCAGCCGTCTACACACTGCCTGTGAGTTCACCCTCCCGCCCAACACCCTCAGACCCTCAAGATCTTCCTGAAGGCCTCAGAGCTCCTTGTACCACACTTAACTCACATTCCTCATCGATAGTTCAGTCCCTCATGTATTTCCTTCAATTATATTTATGCACTAGGTTTTTGAAAGCACTTTCCCCTTCCCTGGTTCATTTAGTTTTTTTAAAGCATTTTTTCATTTTCCTAATGGATGCTAACATTTGTCTTGTTACTTCTCCCCACGCCCAATCACCACACAGGTATCACCAGCAACACGGGCTAGAGGAGGATGGACAAGCACAATTTACTCTTTGGGGTTGTGGAAGACTGTAGAAGTACAGTTAAGATTCGTGGTAGCTATCTTTCCCTTTATCTCAGATTCCTCCTTTTCTTTACTCAGGTGAGCAAGGGGGGAGAATGCAAGAGCTGTTTCCTGGGAGTCCTTGGCGAACCCTTCCTGAGGGAGTACTATTGTATCTTCAACTCAGCGCACAACAGTTCAGTACTAACTAGTGCCCTGCAATTCACATTCTAGAGAATGGGGAGGAAGGAGCTGGACAAGAGGAGGAAGGAACCCTTCCCATAATTGAGAAATACCCAAAGAACTGTGAGCACCGTAATTATCCATAAAGTCTTCAGATTCAGCCTAAAGTGCCAGGTTTCTAAGCTGAATCCTCATAAACAACACAAAAAGATGTAACCACATAAAGCAATTTTAAAATTTAAATACTTGATGAGCTGGTTTTATTGTGCATTACTGTGTTTATTTGTGTTATTTTTTAATGAAAGACAAAATCTAATTGTTTTTCTTCTCTTTGTGCACTTTGTGCACCCTTCTGACAGATCAAGATTGCTTCTGAAAAAGAAATAATTTAAGTTGTCAAAATGGGTCTGTCGTAATTATACAATTATCAATATGTACTTTGCACTAATTTAATTAGTAGTCCTAGCTGTATTCCTGTCCAGTCCTGCGCAACACACACGGTTTTAATAGAACAAATTTGAGAAACTTATTTATAATAAAAAATGGTTGGTTTTGCTGATATCAGTTTGAGGTATTTGTCTTCTTGTTCCACCAACAAAATTGAACCGACGTAAATTTTCCGAGTCTTTCCTGTGTTAACGTTGCTGACAGAAGAAATTCGTTCAGCTTCCTTCAAACTGCGCGTGTCCGTGTCCTCCACGTAACTTCTTACGAAAGGTGAGATGTTTCTTATAAATTTCGGAGCTTTGGGTTTTATAATGGAATATGAGTTGCTGACATGTCAACGTGTCTATTACAAAACGAGACTTCGTCGAAGTTTTAATCGATAAAAATGTCACCTTTGATTTTAAATGATCATACATGATGACGTTTTAAAGAGACAATGCCCCAACGTTGAAACAGATACTTCTAATGTAACAATAGGACGATATTGATATGGAAGTCTCAAAATGTTAGCAGATTAAGTTGGATCTTGGTGTAACAAGGTTCTTGAAATTTTTTTTAACTGTTTACACGTTCTCCCCGGGCTGAAAATGAAAGAAAATTACCACATCTGAATTGAGAAGCCACCTTTAAAGGTGCTATGTAAAATAAAGTTTATTATTATTATAAACCCGTGATTCTCCTCTTCAGTTAAACAGATTTCAGTGTATTTACAACAGTGCAAAAAATGTTAAAAGCAGCATTCATTACAATGTTTACACGAGGAGAATTGCAATGTCAAGGAGAGCCTTTTATACATGAATTGCAGGACTTTCAGTCCAAGTATGCTGCAAAGGAACAAGTAATAGGGTTATTCCATGCATGCATGATTTCCATTCCATCCATCCGAAGAAGGCTCCACAGCCGAAGCGTCGTGTTTTCTTTCTTCTCTTTTCAGCATGGAATAAACCTACAGCATTACTTGTTCATTATGTGAACATTATTATGCTTATTGAGTGGGCTGAAATGTTTCGGCACAAAATGCAGTATGTTTTTCAGGACCGCTCTCCTATTGGACTTTGAAGGCCACTGTGGAGTATTCCACTGTGTCTGTGTTGCGACTGGCTGGTGCTGTCTCACTCTCGTGCATCCTCAGATTGGCGTAGAGGTCAAAAGCATCGTTGTTTTGGGCGGGTTTAAAATCCACAGTGGTGTAGGTGATGCTGTCCAGTTCTGGTAAGGATTCACACTGCAAATTAACACCAAATAAATAATATATTAACAATAAGCGAATCACATCCCTTGACACCAGAGAGGCCCTATTACCTCTCTAAATAAATCAAGTCGGAGCTAGTTTTCTAGATTGCACAGGAGTATAGAGTGCGCTGTCTATTTTGAAAAGCATTTCAGAAATTGCCGTTAAATAAGACTTGGGCAGATGTGGTAATCTGTGCAGCTCCATTTGCAACCTGTGGAGCCAGCGCTCGTTTGAAACCTGGATCGTGTTCTTCTTCTGCTCTGAATCTGCGGTTCCTGCGGTGTAGCCGAGACATGGGAAATGTTTCTGAAGCAACGAGCGAGAGCGTCACACTCACCGAGGGCAAGGGCACGGAAGTCTCGCTGGGGGCTGCGGGTTTATCTGCAATGGAGGGAAGAATTAACAGTCTGTTGTTCTACTCCTGTACGCAGAAGCACCTGGATCCTCTCGCTGGTTCTTTGAGTGACTGAACATGCGACCATTCTGTCACTGCTCAATACAAGCTTTTATATTCTCTGAATCGTCACCCTTCGTTTGAAGCAATTCTTAACCTGCAGTTTGTTTAGTTAACAAATATTGATATTTAGATGCTTATTGAACAAAGGTCCGTCCTAGTGAGGTGTAGTAAAAAAAAATTGTAGGTGATAAACTAATGCAGAACTTTATAGTGAGGGAGTGATTAACACTGCTGCTTCAGAACTGGTTTCTCGATTTAATTCAGGACTGGGACACCTGTCTATGTGGAGTTTGTGTGCCTGAGTTTAGATGATTCTTATTTCCCCCTGCATTTGTTTATACCCTTGGATGGACGAGCATCCTGTCCAGGGTGTAGGCCTGCATTGTGCCCTGTAGTTCTATTTGCAGTACATGATAACACTACACTAATATAAAGACCCTACTCCCCTCCTTTTAAGAAACATACCTAAATGCAAATATAAAAATGCCAGTTGACTACCAAACTACCATGAACTCTGGTGCATGTATACTGTACATAAATTGCTGCAGTGGACAGTGATGCTGGACACCAGTGACTTGACTACCACCTGTTTCTGTTCATACCGGAGCTAAAAGATATTTGAGAGCAGATTTTAAAAAAAATAATCTTTTCAGTCTCGCTATGAGACATTTGCCGGTAAGATTTGCTTGAATTATGCAAAATATAATGGAATCATTGAGGCAGATTTGAGATGTTATCTCAAGCTACAAGCCTTGAGGGACTGGAAACTGGTTAATGCCAATTTCAAACTAAAGTTAGAAAATACTTTTTGTACATAGAGTGATATTGTATGTATAATATGGCAGGACATAGATGCAGAGAGACCTGAAATAAGCTTGATGCTGTGGTTGAGTTGCTGAATGTGTAGGATGATGATGAGCACTTGTGTGCTGAATTGTCTGTTCCTGTCATCACCATCTCTCATGTTCTTGTGGAGAGTACTGTTGATTACTGTTGTGATCCATAGGATTTCCTCATTGTCCTAACTTGTGAGATAAGTATATCAGTTTTCAGAATGTAGGATTATGAAACTTATCTTGGTAAATGCCCTATCCAGAGTAAAAGAAGTAGATTATCAGCCTATGTAGCCTTGGAGAACACAATGTCTTTTCCTCAGCTGGAACAGAACTTACTCTCGGTCTTCTTTCTTCTACGTCTTATGATGACTGCAACCGAGCAAATGAGCACTAACATCAACACAGCTAGAGTGGCTGCCAGAGGAATTACCCACTTGTATTCTTGGTCTCTGAAGCAGAAATATAGAAATTATTTCAGTATTGCAACATAAATTAATTTGGATATTGTGTAATGTCCTGGTCACCCTTTGCTTCTCAGTTTCTTATCTTAGCCTTTTTTGGTAAAATAACTGAAGTAACAATGTTACGCAGCTTTTCCTTTAAACTGTGTAAACATTATTTAATGCTTGTCTCTTCAAAAAGAGTTTGCTAATAGTGAGCGTAGTAAAAAGATGTATTACTACAGATTTTAAATTAATAAAGCTTAAAAACTCTACCACCTTCCAGATCTTGAATTAATCAGTCAGTTATTAAAATGTTTTATTTTCAAATTTCGGGATATGAACTCTAATTTAAATTTGTCAGTACTTTGCATTACACAGGAAAACATATTCAGGGTAAAACAAAAGCTGTTACTTCTTAAGTGCATTTTGGAAAATGTTTTTGCCCTTATCTCATCATTCTTCCAGACACAGTATTTAATAATAAACTCTCAAAAGTCAATTATGCTCAATTGACACAGTATTTAATAATAAACTCTCAAAAGTCAATTACGCTCAATTGACTCATTTTCAATTTCTTTTGACAAAACCTCAATATCTTAAAGTTTATATTGTTTCCAAATACAATACATCACCTATGTTGTATTTCACTTCAATAATCAGAACTGTTTTATGTTTCTGCCATTTCATACTGCTGCAGCTTGAGTTTTGTTTAAAGTCCTGTTGTGCCAAGCTCATCACTCTACGTCTACCTGTTGTCCGGACTCTGGTTCTGTAACCCAGCTGTGACCAGTGTGGTGGTTTTGACCGTGCTGGCAGGGGCTGCTGTTCTGGGAGGTGTTTGAGTTTCTGGAGCTGTAAGCAGTGAAGAGTCATGGAACACTTAAAACTGTTTGCTTTCCATCAACAAGTTAAAAACCTAGTGGCACTGTTTGCTGGCTTTTTTTTTTAAGAAATGAGCATCCGTTTTGGTTTAAGCAGGGCAATTTCAATACTGGCCACTGTGGTTTCCCACAGCAGTTAGAAGCAATGCTCTCGGTGCCCAGACTTCACACAGTCACATATACTGTATATAAAAATACTTGCAATGCAATACATCTTGCATGTTTCCAAGCACTGGAGGATTCTAGGCTAAGTTGTTCTCTACTTTCAGGGTATTTATGCTTGCATTTGCCAGCAGATTTTTTAGCATGCATGACATAGGCAGACCTAATTTAAAACGAGTCTACATTCTTTGTTTAATCAATGTTTCCACCTGACAGACTATAAAGTTGATGGTACATTTTTAGAAGCTAGATTTTTTTCTTTCTCTAGATTTTTAGATGTGCTACATAAATATAGATTCACATTTTTATAGGATCATGATATCACAAATGAGTACAGTTACTGTTCATCTTTATCAGAGGTCAGCAGTTATCAGATGATAACTTTGACATGAACTGAAAACAGTGCATAGATTGATCATGGTAATGAAGAAATGTCTTCTAGTGAGCATGACTTCTGCAGGCCCCTTTCTGGTTTAACTGATGTGTAATGTATTTGAAGGGGAAAATATTTAAGAATTCCTTCAGAGCTCTCAGTGTCCACAAAAATTAATTGAATCAGTTAATCACTCACTTGCTAGATACAGTGTTGCAGAGGACCAAAAGCAGGTGATCTTGTATCCTCAAGATAATTTTACTTAACATATTTTACTTACTAATATGAAATTTCAGTGCTTTTTTTAAAGTACTACTCTGATGAGCTGCTTTTGTGTCAGTTTTGTCTGTCAGCTGTTTAATGTGAAGATTTTATTAAAAAACCTCTGTTTGTGTTTCTTTAACCCACTAACAATATTGTTTGCTTTCAGTGCTAGTATCCCATTTAAAATCAGCCTGTGTAAACCACAAATAACAAATGAATATTCAATAGGACATATAATGCCATCAAATGTTTCTTTATGGAATTACTTTTAAGAGCCATTTTGTAAAACTTTCTTACCTGCAATTTGTAGATGAAAATTGACATGTAGATTGAATCCATCTACTCCACATCGGTAAACGCCGGTATCTCTCTTCTGGACATTTCTTATTATTAGTTCTATTGCTCCACTGTATTGCTTTATTCTTGCTCTGCTCCAGTATTCATTAGCTATAAATCCTTTTGTGTTGATAAACACGGTGCATCTGCTTTGTGTCTGTTTGCAGCAGTATTTCCCATAGTGTGTGTGGTAATTGTCATGTGTAAATAACCTTTGAAAATCTTGTCCTTGGTTAATGGAGTAGGTTATCAGCTGACCTACGGAAAAAAGTGGACCTGTAAGGGAACAAAGATATTTTAATCTTGTCTTTGTTTTCCAATTATAAGAATGAAAAAATGTATCTGAACCTTCATACGGTACCGAAATTTAGAAACAGAAGTAGCTCCAAGAGTTGCATCTTCATCTCCTTGAGACCTGGAAGCTGCAGTTGCTTCACCAGCAGGCAGCAGTGATCTGACTGCTTCCTCGAAGAGCCAGAAAGGACCTTCGCACCAGTCACACAGGATTGCTGTCATGAGACAGCAGGCAAAAAGGAAACTGTATGCAATTAGGAGAAACTGCTTTTGTGAGACATATAACAGCTTGTACTTTAAGCAAACACAAGGTATAAAAGCTTTACACTTTTATTCACACACAAAGCCTCAGGCTTTTAAAGGGTACCTGAGTAGTAAACAGTCACTGGGATTTATTCTTTTTGTCAAACCATTCTATACTAAACCACAAATCTACTGTGCAGTTGGTGAGAGTTACAGTAGCTGGGAATGGATAATAAATTTCTTGTGGAAAAATCTTCCCCTCTGTTATTGTGTGTGATATACTGTAGGAGATGAAGAAGTATTGATAATAGGAAGAACAGGGCAAACTCTTGTTTTGTTGTCCTCCATCATAATGACACTTCCCTGCTATACCTTCAGTTTTAATGGAAAGTGAAGATTGTTCAAAAGGAGCTTTAAAAAACTCTAAACTACAAAAACAAACTTTTTTAAACTGCCTTCTTAAATATAGTGATTAATCCCTTAAATGTGCAGCCCATTTGAAATATGAGATGATAGAGCTTTGAAAATAGAGTTTTCATGTGGTTCTTGGTGAAGAAGGTTTCATTATTGGGTCCATCAAGCAGGTCAGGTCTAGGTTTTAAAATGAAGTAGGTGGCTATTCTAGATGATAGTGTGGACGTGAGGAGGTAGATCTGCCTGAGGAATGCCCTTTATTGTAACTTCAGGTTCTAAATCTCTAAAAAACATGTTTACTGTCTACATGATGTTTCTTAGTACATGGTGGTTAGTCGCATGATTCTATTTTCTCCTGTTTCAGAAATGTTCATTTGTTATTGATTTAAGAGAAAAACAATTTTCAGAATAAAAACATCAACACCGTGTCAGAAATATTGACAGCAATCTGTTTTATAGTTCAGCATACAAAGAGTGTAAGGATCAGTGATCATGTATTAAGTCAAAACAAGCAGTCTTACATTTCATGTTGGTGTTGAAGCTGGCACACAATACATTCGCTTACATTGTTACAATAGTACAGCAATGAACTAATACACTCTTTTACACATAAAATGAATGCTGGCTTCACAACAATGGGAAAACAAATACAGATTCTTACAATAAATCATGGATAACTAGAATTAACTATTACCTTTTAAAACCTTTCAACAGAATCTTATTTTAACTGTAAGAAATGGCTCCTTATGTGGTACCTTATATGGCTACGTTGCCTGATGTGGATGTTTTTTTTTCCAATGACATTCATGTTATTTTTTTTTCAACTACACCCCTTCACATGATTTGAATCCACAGATATTTGCTTTGTACACGCCTGTTTTAAAAGCTAATCATTCAAAATACATTTTTTAATTTCTTAGTTGGACTCAGCGGGACTGTTTATCTGAGGGCAGTTAGTGGTTTTGGCATCTGTGCTGAGATCTTTTCTGTTTTCCCCAGATGCAGGTTTTAGTAATATAGCTGTGGTCAAAATACACTGTAGTCAAAAATCACTTTTCATTGCACACAGGAAGTCCTCCTCCTCGTCACCAGATGATGGTGGAGTACTCTACAAACTCAGCTGGGGGGGGCTTATAAGAGCAAGTGATATTGGCATAGGTGCTGTCACTAGGGGGCAGTGTGCTGTTTCCACTTCTCACTTTAGTGTAGGTTATTTCTACAGCTTCTCCAGAAGCCTGAAAAAGGATATTGCAATGATAAAATACTGTGTAAATGATATGGTAATATTTTATCTGTTTCTTGGATATTTGTCTGGCATCCAAACAACTATGTTTTACGCCCAAAGACAAACAACTGGTACACATAAACATTAAAAATATAACAGGACATGAACACATGCATAGTCATTATGCACCACTCTTATAGAAATCCACATAGACTCCCAGAAACTGTAAGTTTACTTTCTACACAATCATCGAGAAACCCCAATAATTGTATAATACCCCTTCATGTTTGCACATAACCTTCTGTTAAACTTTACCATCAACCAATACTCCTTTATTGTTTTGATTAGTTTAGATTGAATGTGGGATAAAGGAGTTCCACATTTTGTTATGCCTAAATGTTGGGAGTCTAAAACATCTGTTTGAAAGCATCAGTTGATATTGTTCATGCAGAACAAGTGAAGGATCAGAGGAGATACTAACGACTAGTCTCAACATGAAATCTCTTCTCAGGTGGCTGCCACACTCATTTAGAGCACATGCTCAAGAGTCTGTATATCTTGGCTTTTGTTACACAGAGGCTGTTAAACCAGACAATTATTCCACACTGCATGACACTTTATACCACAGATCTAAAGCACATGAACAGAATCTGACTACTAGCACCAAAACTTGTAACCTTTGAAGAAATCAAACTCGCTGTTAACTTTATTGTTAACTTAATAAAGTCCAGCATGCTCCTTCCAAGACCAATTAGCATCTACAGTATGTACTGTATATTCCCAGATATATAGAGGATGTATCTTGTTTAATGGATTCATAATTAATCAAGGCAGGGGAAGGATATCCTTCTAATATTTCAAATTAAGGCATTCTGGTTTCGCCATGCAAGCAAACTTTCTACACTGCTCTAATCTAGATTAGGGTCATCATTATCATTCATCAAACTGGAATCGTCCGAAAGTTTGATTGGGAATTGTTTTGGACCAAAATATCAGATGTGGGTTGATCTGTAATTGAATTATTTTGGATAATACATTGTCCAGTCTGATTATGTTAAAGGCTAAAGACAAGTCAGAGAAACATATTCTAGAACATATTTTGCATTTGCTCAAATCGCCCTGAAATATGTGAGTTATAGTAACTTCAGTGTTTTCTGTGCTTCTCTCTTGTTTGTAAGCAAACTGATATGGATCAAGTTTCCCATTTACTGTCCGGGTGAGATTCTGAATCAAGATACTCTCCAAATGATTATGAAATGATTAGGGAGGAGTAAAGTATGGGAGGTTTTATATTCTACAGGAATAGTTCATGCGTGTTCATGCGTGGGAAAATTGGTTGGAACAAAATTCTCTTGTAAAGACCTTCAAAATAAATTCACTGTATATATTACGTGTTAATGTGGTTCAAATGTATAGGGTGTTTATAAAGTTAGCAAGTCGTGCTTCTCTCTCATTTAGTATTATGGTCTGTTTTCCAAAGCGTTGTTATAATCGGGTATAATTAAAATACTTGAAGCCAAACTTGCAGGAACACAGTGGGGAAAAATTAGGTAATGTTATGGAGAGTATAGAAAAGCATTCAAGTTGACAACAACTGATTTTTCTAGGTTTAATTTGAAATAAATGTCAGTATTTCGTAGCTTCCATTTAGTTCTTAAAGTGTTGGGGGGGGGGGGAGAATGATTTTTGTAAGTTTGATACAATGAGAAAGTGAAACATTACCTTTAAACTGTTCCTTACAGCCTCTTTCCGTCTTTTATCTGAAATGAAATTAACAGAAGGTTTTGATGTGGCTGGATTTTAACTTCTATAAATGCATTAAATGTCCACCTGAGGGATCTGTTTTGCTTTTTCATTCCTGTTCACACCTAAATAGTTTTTTCATCATTATTTACAATATAACAAAATGATAGACAGGGATAGTTTGTTTCCTCACAATTTATAATTTAAACTGAATTCTTTTTATGTTCCAAGAGTGTAATCTTAACCTTGAGTCTTCTGTTTGGAGTGATGCTTATTTCCTAGCTTGAGGAATAATTCTGAATCTCCTACCCCCACCTCTTGTAATACTGGAACTTTTTCAAACTGAGAAACCTGAAACGAAAACGTTTCAGAAATTAAATAAAAACTGGGAACCTCCATGAAACTTTAGTAAATTTCTTACAAATGAACTTCATACAGAAAAAGCAGAGCACTGGATGAAGTCAAATCCTTTAAAATGGGATATTCTCCATCATGGTAAACTTCAACACACAGCAAAGCCCACTGAAAACTTTTAATAAACCAATAAGATGTCATCTTTTGAAAATTACAATGAAGAAGATGGAGAAACCACTCTTTCGTACTCTCGAAGCACTCCAGTACAACTGAAACTGTAGAGCTTGTGGTTTTATCTTCCTCATGTTTCATCATTGTGAGCTGGGTTTGCATTGTGAGACCGGAGATAACTGAGAGAAGAGATTAAAGCATATTGTGAGGAGCGCTTTCTCTTATGAAATAACAAAGGAGATGGCAGTGGTGCCCACTTTCCTGCAGATCTTCATTTTGCATTATGATTTTATTGATTTATATAGACTTGTGATCATTGTTCCTCTTTTCTATTATTGACGTGTCCTAAAAATGCCTGATTTTTTTAAGCTATAGATGTGAAGAAAAGCAGTTTTTCTTTTTTTTTTAGAGATGTTACTATGAGGACAACCTGTGTTGTCCTCAAGAATCTTGCACATAAAAATGGTAATGAACAACGCTTTTCTTGTGCATTTAACAACCTAGAGTGTCTGAACCTTAAATGTGCAATTTTAATACTTCCATGTAACCTCATGTTTTCATTTAATTTAGCTGCTCATTATTGAGAAAAGATACTGTAACATTTCGGGGTTCACATGGGCACCCTCGCCACTGCTCCATCAGGCCGGCCCCACACCATTGGGGACTCGGACCCGGGCCTCTGGCGTCACTCAACGGGGACCCAGCTTCTTGAGCCAAAGGGAAATCTCCTGTCAGCCCAGCAGCTGCGGTCCCTGCTATCCACAGGGAAGGCCGGTGATGTCACCGCTCTGGTAAGCCAGCTCTCGCAACCTATCCATTACAATACTTTCTTTATTTCACGTTCTGATTAAATTCACACCGATTGATCAATGTTGACAATAAAGTACAAGGAAGTGGTACAAGCCTAAGTAGTTCAAGTTACTACGCACCCCTATTCTGTTGAAAAGCAATAAGAATTGTCAGGTGGCATGTGTAATAAAAATAAAGACTAATTTGCAGCTCCCTCTTTTTGCAGCTCCCTGTCAAGTTTTTAGAAACTGATTTAAAAGACTTTAATTTAGAAGACTATTCCTCACACATTATATCACACGCCACTTCTTACCTTTAATCTTTAATACGATCAGGACTGTCAGGCAGCACAGGAACAGCAGAGCTCCAAAGCAGGCTCCGAGCGCTGTCAGCACTGTATTATTTCTGTCAAGAATGAGATAGGCCACAGTATTCTAATCAGTAGGTGACCTACAGGAGAGTTAGCACCAAGTGGACAGGACAAGCATCCCTCACTGATGTCACTGCTGGACGATGTGTAGTAAAGCCTGTCTGATACTTGCTAGCTGATTCAAGCCCACCCAGCACCTGTCACCACTTCTCCAGCTGGGTGGCAACACTTGGGGAAACCAGGGCTAAATCAGTTAATGACACAGCCCAGGCTTGAACTGGTGAGGTGTGGACTGTATGTCTCACCCTGCACTCTGGGCAAGGACCCCATACTGCTCGAACCATTCAAGAGAGACTTTAAGTAACATGTTAGACGTGTTTGTAGCTATTTACCTGATTATGAGTTTTGATCACTTTTAATTCTGCAGAAGAACTCTAGAAACATTCTGGAATCAAATCAAATGAATTGATTGCAAATTCAGTTCAAGCTTTCAGAGCTCATATGAGATGAGAAGATGGTTTGGATCTTTAATAAAGTAATGTGAAATGTTGACTCGTGTTTTAATGGGACTGATGGAGATATATTCCAATAGACAGTGATAGAGGACACTGTCCAGCTTGGTTTAGCTGTGTATCATATCTTTTTGCAGACATGTGAGGAATGTGGACATATAAGGTCTCCAGTCATACTGAGGCAATGTAGTGACCGTGGTTATCCTCAGATGTGAATGTGTCTACAGTATGTGAAAGTTCTCCCTGGTATCTTATTCATATGAGTACTAAACCACATTGCTTCATGCATTTTTCATGTCAGAGTGGTTTCAATGGTCCAAGTATTTTTCTAAGCACCCTGTTGCATATTGTGACTGATGGGGAAGAACTTTGAATGCAGAGTGGAACAGGGGATAGTAGCCGAGGATGAGAGCTGGACAGAGACTTTCCTACGACTCTCAAGACCAGGTGTAGATGGGTCTGTAACAGCACATTAGCACATAGTTGTTATCCAATATTAAAGGTCTCATAATGCATACAAGGATAATGAAACATCATGTTCCTACCTGGACTCCTCAGCAGTAGAGCTGATATGAGGCTCTGTCTTTGTCACATACCCACTGGTCATGGTGGGTGTCTCTCCAAGGTCAGTCGTTTTTTTTGCTTTTCCTTCTGGTGATTCATTTGTCCGTGGTTTTGGAGGTGTGGATCTTGCATCTGTTGAATTGCCTGAAAAGGCATAAGATGAGTTTAAATGTGCCTTTATTTTGCTCTTTCACTTGTTTTCACTTTATTAGTTTGCAAATAGTTTTTTTCCAGGAATTTAATTTCACAATATACATGGTAGGGAAACGGTATAATACCTTATTTAAAGTATCGTAGTTTAAATCATTTTCAAATATATTGTTGTTCATGTGCTAATTTCTATAATATTATTGTAGCATGTCCAATGTTTAAATGTTGTAAAAATCTCAAATGAAACAATTAAACCATGCAATGCTCTGATTATGATATATGCACAATGAAATTCAAAGTGGGCAGCAAATTTAATAATAGTTAACGCAAACAGGTACCCCTTTAAAGCCAGAGGAGGCAATAGTATTGTGAAGCTCAGGGAGTGTTTACCTGTGACAGTGAGGAAGACAGGAGCTAGTTCATTACTAAGAGA